TTTTTTTTTTTTTTTTTTTTTTTTTTTTTTTCAACGTTTATTTATTTTTGGGACAGAGAGAGACAGAGCATGAACGGCGGAGGGTCAGAGAGAGAGGGAGACACAGAATCGGAAACAGGCTCCAGGCTCCGAGCCATCAGCCCAGAGCCCGACGCGGGGCTCGAACTCACGGACCGCGAGATCGTGACCTGGCTGAAGTCGGACGCCTAACCGACTGCGCCACCCAGGCGCCCCCAAAATGTTGTCTTTAAAAGGCGCATTTTATTTAAGGTGTGACGTTCGGGGCCCTGACGATTCTGTGTCTGCACATAAAATAGTGAATGATGTGCAGTGTGGCTCAGCTCACTTTCCTACATGGGAATGTGTCGGGGATCAGTTCAACGTTTGTCATTCTTCCCTGTCTGGTGCTGGGACGCTGCCTCTGTTTGGTACCATCTCTGCACCGACTGTCGCCAGCCCAGAGCCCTCCTGAACTCCAGGTCCTAAATAAAGGATGAAATCATTTGGCCACTTGGACGTCTGACACTCAGACCGCGTGTCCTCACACTCACCTCTTGACGTTGATGACGCAGCCAGAGACCCCACGTCTCCTTAAGCGACAGCTCCATCCTTCAGGTTGCACGGCTGAAACCCAGCGTCCTTGACTCCTCTGTTGCATTTATCCACCGCGGAGACCAGAGTTCCTCCGCTTTGGCCGCCTCCACTGCGGCCTGCCTCCTCTGACCTCGCCTGGGTGGTTTCAGCGACTGCCCAGGGAGGCCCGTGTCCGCGACGGGCACGTCTCAGCACCGTGGACAGGGGCCTCGTCAGGTCAGACCCTCTGCCGGTTTTGCCTTGCATGTAGAATAAAACCCAAAGACCTCGTAGCCGCCGGTAAGGCCCGCCCGTGCCGGGCCCGGGTCTGCATGGGCTTCTCTGTGGAATTCTCTCCTTTGCTCTTTTTGCCTTCGGCCCAGCGACCTCCTTGTTCCTCCTCGACTGTGCCAGGTTCACTCCTTCCTCACAGCTGGAGACACCTTCCTTTGGCTGGACACCGTCCAGACCTCCCTTGGCTTGTGGCCTCTTTTTCAGGGCTTTATGGACACGCCACTTCCTCATCCATCCCGTTGAGAAGTGTGTGTGTGCATTCGCACGTGTGTGCACATCCAGGCCGGCAGTCCGTGTCTCCTACCCCTGCTTGTGTTTGTTCAGCGTCTGACACGCTGGGTACTTTATCCCCTTTGCTCCAGAGGGCAGGGAACTTTGTCCCTTTGTCTGATGCCACGTAGCCTCGTCACCAAAACACAGAGATTAGCGTTTAGCAGTAGGCTCAGAGGTACTTACCTTCACGGACGGACCGATCTGCTCAGCGTCAGAAGGGCTCGGGTGTGGGCAGTTTCCACATGCAGCAGCGGAAGAGCCTGGTACGGATGGACGCGAGGCCTCAGCAGGGGTGTGTGGCGGGTACTGGCCGTGGCGTTCTTGATCATTCAGATGTTTACTTTTACAAAGTTCAGGACGGCTAAAGTAGTTTGTGGAGATGCGCACGTGAATCTGAACCCAGGGAGGTCACGTCACACGCATTTTTTTCGTTGTTACTCTGCTCTTTGCCTGTTGCTTTGTCTGTTTTCCGATAATTTTTTATTAAGACGCTGCTTTTAAGATGTCAAGGGTTTGCTTTCCAGGAATGAACTGGCAGGTGAGAGAGTATCTTGGAGGAGGTCAGTTCTGCACTTTTTTTTATAGCGTTAATAATGTGCGTTTTGTAGGTAGAACTGAGAATGTTCTCTAGATTCAGACTAGAAACAAAAAAATCTCTTGGATCTCATGAATAAATAAACTTAAAAAAAAAGTGGGGCGCCTGGCTGGCTCCGTCGATGGAACGTGTGGTCTTGATCTCTAGATTAATCTCTATAGACATTACTAACAATAAATAAATAAACGTAAAAAAGTCTCTTGGATCTTTCTTTAACTGTGTTTTCTTGACCGAATGATAAAATGGTTTTCCGTTTTTGAGATGTTAACAATTCAGGCTTAAGTCTTGTTGTGACTTTAAAAAACAAAGTGGCCTGGGGCACCCAGCTGGCTCAGTCCGTGAATGATGTCAGGGTTGTGGGCTTTTAGTCCCACATTGGGCATAGAGATTACTTAAGAATGAAATCTTTAAAAATAAATAACCAGATAAACAGCCAGGTTTCAACAGTGTCTCGCCAGGTACCGTGTAGAGCAAGCAGTCCGATCGTTTAGGGTATGGGCTTTGGAGTCCGGTTCGCAGCCTGGCTCTGTCACTTACCGGTGGCAGGACCTGGGACTCAGTTCCCTGTGGTCAAATGAGCTAACAGAACCCATCTCCCAGGGTGCTTCTGGCTGTTGAGTGGGGGGTGCTTGTGATGTGCCTGCTGTAGTGCCCGGCACATAGTAGGTCCTCAGTTTAAACTTAGCTCTTGTGGTTTGTATGAGGTAGGGCCTTCCTGTGACACTTGTCTGCCTGTTCCATCGTCTGGGCCGAATGAAATCTAAATTGTTATGCCTTCCTTAAAACTCTTGTTAGAGTTTGGTAGCCTTGGATATTTTGGGGTCTTAATTAGCATGCTCTTTTGCATGCACGCCCCGGACTGCCTGAAGTGTTCCTCTGGGCTCTGGGGGAAAGGCTGTTTCTGGGGCTGAGCACGCTGCCACGTGAGAGTTTGGAGTTCACTGCAGACAGGAGAGCCCGTGCGCGGGAGCCTCGTGAGCGCGTTTGCCAGGATGGCACAAACTTGCGGTGGCATCTATCATAGGAAGCAGAGTCCTGCTGTTGGAGGCTGGACGTTACTCTCTGACCAGGGCAGCGCCGTAGTCTGAGTCCAACACTGGAGCCCCGGTGCCTTCACGGGCCCTGTGTGTGTAGAGCTGGCACGGGCACTAAGGGAAAACTGAAACCGTGGACGGGCGATTCTCCGGGAGGGACAGGGGACGTGCCCCAGCAACTGAGAAGCCCCACTTCTTTGTCACATTTTTTAAATTGTTGAGAGAGAGCGAGAGCAAGAGTGAGCGAGGGGCAGGGAGAAAGGGGGAGAGAGAGAGAGAATTCGGAGCCTAGAGTGGGGCTCGAACTCATGAACCCTGAGTTCATGACCTGAGCCGAAGTCGGGCACTTAACTGAGCCACCCGGGCGCCCCGAGAATCCCCACTTCTGATGAACACTGCTGCTGGGGAGGAGGTGGCGAGAGCCGCTAACGTCTGGGACACTGGAGCAGATTGGCGGAGTGCCGACTCACTTACCTACTCAGCAGAGACGGCCGGGTGCTGTGCCACATGCTCGCCTGGAGGGAATTGGCCAGGGTCCCTGCTCTTGAGCGTCTCTGTGGGGAGCAGCAGGGCAAACACGAGTTATAAGCCCCAGGGTCAGAGGGAGCATCTGGCTGGTCCTGGGGGTCAGCAGACGTCCTGGGGATGGCACCCGGGCTGCGTCTCCCGGCTGAGGGAGGAGGGTGGGTTCACAGACAATCCGTTTGGCCTGCGTCTCTTTGGATTCGCCTCGCTTTGTGACACGGGCACTTTCCGGGTTAGAAATGCTTAAACCCGAGGATGCAGTTGGTCACCCAAGATGGTATTTGTTGGGTAGTTTGGATGGTAATTGTCACCGTATTTTAAGAGAGTGCCTGTGCGCTTCACTTTTTCACCTGATGGTTTCCGTTAAGTACAAGATCGGTTTCTCGTGGAAGAGTTTGGTTTGTTCCTTCACAGACTCCCAGGGGGAGAAAGTACACAGCACTCTTGAGAAGTAACGTGCACATGCCTACACTGGTTACAGGGTTCTGTTGACTGTTTCGATTTGCCTGAGACTCTAAGCTCTTAACCTTGGGTCCAGCGCCTACCACAGAGTAAGCACATCGTCGATTCTCGATAAATACTTGTTGAATGGATGCAATCAGAGTCAGCAATATAGAGAAGGTACAGAGAATCTGCATGAAAGCCGATAGTGCTTTTTTATAAAACCGGCCTTCAGAATGAATGTGGGCCTCGACCCCCGCACCTTGTGTCTAAGTATGAACATCACTGACTCAGGGAGTGTTCTTAACGAATTAGGCCTGAACTCCGAACTCACTCTTTGTGCCATCTGAAACCTGAAAAACTCAAAACTTTTTTTTTCTAGGATCTTTACCTTATATAGTAAGTCTTTGCCCCTCGACCTGGCCTGTCGCATATGGGATGTGTTCTGTCGTGACGGGGAGGAGTTTCTGTTCCGCACGGCCCTGGGCATCCTGAAGCTGTTTGAGGACATCCTGACCAAGATGGACTTCATTCACATAGCCCAGTTCCTTACGAGGCTCCCAGAGGACTTGCCCGCGGAGGAAGTTTTCGCCTCCATAGCTACAATTCAGATGCAAAGTCGAAACAAGAAGTGGGCTCAGGTAAACGGATCCTTCGTTCTCTTTTCCCTGCAGAGCAGTTTGCCTCAGTAGCATGACTGAGGAAGTTCATTGCTGCCTTTTGAGAAACCAGCCCTCTCTGAAGAAAGTCCTCCTTGGACCGGAGATGAGGAGCCTGGGTTTGAGGCTGGGCTCTGCCACGGGGGGTCATCGGATGGACAGGTGGAGGGGCGGGTAACAGAAGCCTCTCAGCCATTCTGCAGTGGCGCCGGGGGGCCACTATGCTGTCCACAGGTTAGAAGGCATTTTGTAAAACCAGGCGCCGCCGCCACCACCCCCACTGCTGTGCTTGGCGCCGGGCGGAAGGGATTGTCCCCCATCGCTGATCAATAGACGAGACCCACAAAGGCGAAATGCTTGCCCTCAGCGGTCAGCGGAGGGCAGGAGGGCTGAAGGGTGGCTCCCCTGGGCTGTGTCCTCTGGCCCTCTGGTGGCTGAGTTGGGGGAGTGGCTGAGCTGCCCTGTGGGAGCGAGTCCAACCTGGGCCTCCTTCTAGATCCCTCTCACCTCCTCTGGACGTCCCGTCTAGGGTTGTCCCCTGGGGGATTAGCCGGTGTTGCTGGTTCCAAGTCTTTATTGGGCAAAAAAGGAAAAAAGCCTTGCTTCTTACAGGCTTATTTGAGCCTTACAGGCTCAAAGCTTGTCTGAGCGGCAGGTCGCACTGGGAAGTTATCTGTGGACGTTTCTACTCCCCTGTGTATGCCAAACAGCACATCCCTCATTTACCCTTTGTGTTAGTGGGAGATTTCAACGATTTTTTTAACGTTTATTTGTTTTTTGAGAGACAGCATGAGCAGGGGAGGGGCAGAGAGAGAGAGAGAGAGAGAGAGAGAGAGAGAGAGACACAGAATCCGAAGCAGGCTCCAGGCCCTGAACTGTCAGCACAGAGCCCGACCCGGGGCTCGAACCCATGAGCTATGAGATCATGACCTGAGCTGAAGTCAGACGCTTAACTGACTGAGCCTCCCACCCCCCCACCCCAGGTGCCACCTTTATTTTTTTAAGCAATTTTTTTAATGTTTATTTATTTTTTGAGAGGGTGTTAGTGGGAGATTTTAAATCCATATACCCCACCTTTTATCCCTCCTTCTGTATTTATTGAAGAAATGAGGTCATTGGATCTACAGGGTTTCCCAGGGTCTCGATCTTGCTGGCTGTACCCTTGCAGGGGTGTTGACCGTGGTCTTCAGTACGGGCGATTTCCTGTAAAGTGACTGTTAGATCCACCGGCTTGATCGTGTTCGGGTGTTTATGTTTGGTCGTAATACTGCGAAGGTGATCAGGCTCCAGCAGCCTATTTATTTTTATAACAGTTTTATTGAGATGTAATTTATGTACCATAAAATTCACCCTTTTGAAAGCGTACGATGGAGTACATTGATTAACCAGAGGGAAGTTCCCCTGTCACCTGGGTCTGCTGTCCTGGCCCTTGAGCTGGCCCCTTCTGTCCTTGCTGCCCTGTGATGTGCTGTTCGGTCTGGCTGGCAGACTCCCTTCCCGTCTGGCTCTTTTGGGGAGAAGCACGGCAGTTGTGACGGGACCTTGGGCAATACCATGAGGTGCTCCCCTGGTCTTAACTGGGGGCGGGGAGAGGCCCTGTTTTGTGCTGAGGGTGATGGGCTTTGCATTTCTGAAATGCTGCATACGTGCTGCCTTGCTGCATACTTGGGTGAGCCTTGAAAACCGTGTGTTGTGTGTGAGAAAGCCAGACGCTGAAGGCCACGTGCCCTATGATTCCGCTCGTAGGCAAGTCCAGGGCAGGTGAGTGGTTCCCCAGGCAGTGGGCGAGATCGGGTAGGGTAGCGGGGACGGGAGTTCGCAGGGTCCTTCTTGAGGCGGTGAAGACGCTCTAAAGCGGACCGCGGTAGTGTCGCACACGTGGATGGACACGCTACACGCCACTGAGCGAGCGGTACGCTCTCACCGGACAGATGACGCGGTAAGGAAGTACGCCTCAGTAAAACTGGGACAGGATACGCTCGGCTCGTGTGTGAGCAGGACTGGCGGTCCGCTTAGCAGGGATCTGGTGACAGGCAGAGGAAGAGCCTTCCTCTGGTTAAGAAATAAGCGGACGGTGCGAAATGAAGACACGGGGCCACAGGTTCAGGATGGTTGAGAGTTTGAAGGTGGGCACTGCCTGGGCCGTGTGCCCTGCGCGGGAGGGTGTGCTGCGGTCTTCCTGACGCACCTGCTCACGGTGGTTCCCTGAAGTCGCGGCAGTGAGCCGAGGCCTTCCCTGGCAGCCTTCGTGCAGCTCGTGGGACTGTGCCTACTGTCTACACGTGCAGTCATGGGTCTGCCGACCTTCCTTTGCTTGTCACTGGTACCCAGCCCGCACATCCCCATGTGTCCCCCCCCGCCGACAGGCAGGCGCAGACAGACAGACACACACACACACACACACACACACACACACACACACACACACGCAGGGAAGGAGGAAACCCAGGTCTTCTGTGTCGCTTCTTGTGTTTTAGGATAAGGTAAAAATGTTTGGTTAAAGCTAGGTCAGAGGCTCGTGAACAGTAGGACGTTTTCTAATAATGGGATCGTGATAGTCGTTGGCCTTGATGCTGGGGGTGCAGGTGGGCGTCGAGTTTGTACCGTTCTAAGTCCCACAGGAGTTGTGGTCTGTATACCTTCTCCCAAATGCTGTGCTTCGGGTTAAGACCCTGGCGAGCTTTCCAAAACCAGTAGACGTCCGCGTCTGCTTGGCAGTCCCATGGAGGCAGAGCTGGACAGGGGGACCTTTATCTACCGTTAGTCTTCCCGTGCAATTTATTTGAAACCTACAGAAGATGTTTCTGCTCTACCCCATGTAATTTGTGATTCAGTTGAAGTCACACAGGGCCTGGCCTCAGGAGATGAGCGCTTGGTTCTGGAGTCAGGCAGATCCAGGTTGGAACGTGTGTGCTGCTTGAACAGCCGATCTCTTGAGCGCCCGTCGTTCAGGTGCCTGACTGCGGGGCTTGTTGTGCGCTAACAGCCGCTGTGCGCGAGCTGCGCCGACTTAGGGAGCTCTTGCTGTTGCCACTGCTGTGTTAAGCCGTCGCAGTGGAGTGTAGTGTCTTTAAAAACGAAGGTGTTAACCAACGGCCGAGAGAGCACAGAGCTGGGAGCCAAGTCACTTTGGGGCAGCTCGGGAGGGCCCGAGAAGAGCCCGGGTCTGTTAGCACGGTTTGCTGCTGAAGCGGAGAGGCAGGCAGGGAGCGGCCGCGCTAACGGTCCGGGGGCGCTCGTTGGCGTGCTGGAGCGGGTGGCCTGGCTTGGGGGTGGTGAGCCCAGGGGCTGGAGCCGGATGTGGGAGGAGAACGCTGTAGCCCCGTGTGGACATTGGTACCGTGGCTGCTGGGACATGGTTGTAGGACGTTAGCCGGAGGCGGCACGGTTGGATTCTCACGTCTGGGAGAGGGCCCTGGCTGCGGGTGTTGAAGGCGGAACAGGGCAGCGGCGGACGTGGGGAGGCAGAGGCCCCTGCTAGGAGGCCGTGCGTCCCGTCACCACACCTGTGTCCAGTGTCCTTGCAGATCACCCACGGGCGTCCCCTGTGCTTCCAGGTACTGACCGCGCTGCAGAAGGACAGCCGGGACGTGGAGAAAGGCAGCCCGTCGCTCAGACACTGAGGGGACAGGCGGACCCGCGCTCGGCACCGAGCAGACCTCCAGGTGGCACCTTGCGTGGCTTCGGACGCACGCACGCACGCGCTGACCGCGGATGAGAACGGGCTGTTTTCACGTTTGATCCTAACACTGGAGTTGGCCTTAAACAAAACAAACAACTTTCAAAGAACTACACCAAGGCTTAGCCTTAAGAAGCTCGGTGGAAAGATGAGCCAGTGTTGACCAGGGCCAACACTGCGTACTCTGCACGGTTTCAACCTAAGGCAGTGGCTAATCCCCCCCTCCCCCCTTATTTCAGCGAAAGTTAATTAAATTGTCATGCTTTTATGTCAACTAATGAAAAGTACATTACAGTCTTCCTTAGCCAAGGTGTGTGAGAAATCCTCCCGGGGAGGCCTCGGAGAGGTTATTGGCTCATTTACGTACGTGAGTAGGGAAGGGGTTGTCGATTCCGTTCCCGGGACGACCTGTCCAGAGCTGGAGGTGATGTTTTCACAGCCCACCTACCCAAGCTTGTGGGAAGGGAGAATGGGCTGTCCCAGGGCGGTCACGCACGAGTGCCCCAGGGCTCCCTGGGATTCGACCTGACCTCTGGGTTGGCGTTTCTCCATCGTGGCCTTGACAGAATCCCAGCACGAGTCCCATGCACGCTGAGGTTCCGGGGCACCCGTGCTCTCCGAGATTGCTGCGCCCTCCAGCTCCTGAGCAGAAGAGCTGCTCACACGGACGGCCCGAGACCTGGCGGAAAGAGCACGGGAGGACCCCCACGCCTCCCGTCTGCGGAGGCCAGGCGGCTTGGGGGGGGTGGGGCGGGGAGCCTGCTCCCTTGCTGTCACGGGCTGCTGCTCTTTCTGTTGTCACCTGAACGGCAGGACCGGTCCTGGTACCAGATGTTCCCTCCTCGCGTACTCGGCTTCAAGGTAGACCGAGGTGAGGGCCGATGAGCAGGCCGCACGCTTCCAGTGGTACGGACGACGGGCCACTCGGGGCTCTCGGTGTTTGTCCTGTGCGCCTCTCCCCACGTTAGCTGGTTTCCCCCACGTTCATCAGCCGGCAGCTTTCTTGTTCTGACTTTCCCTTGACTGACTTTTACGAATTTTGTTGTAAGAGCTTTGTTTATCCAAACTCAAAGACACGAGCGGTTTCACACGGAGTAGCCCGAAGGACGGGCAGCTGTGTGGAAGCCGGCTCCCTTGTGCCAGCCGGGCTGTGCGAGCGCCCGTGGACGGGGCGAGGGCACCGTCGGTTGCGCCCGGCCCTCCGCCGCCCCCTCAGCTGCACGTCCGCCCTCGGCCCCGAGAGCAGGCATGCAGCAAGGAGACCGGCAGGGGGCCGGGGCCCGACCGTGACCTCGCCCTTACGGGTTTTCCGTGCCCGCCACGTCCGCTGCCGACACGCGCAGGTGCGACGGCCAGTTGCGGAGCCGGGGCCCCGTTCGTGCCCTTCACCCCAGCCCTCTTCCGTGTGTCCTGTTTTCTCGAACTGCCTTCGCCCCGTGTCTGCTTAACCGAGTTCTCCCAGGAGGTTGCAGATCATCTTGGATACACTTTCTGCCTCAGCCTTCAAGTGCTGACTCTCCCCACCTCTGGGGGCGGGGAGGGGGGCGTCCCGTCTTCACCGAGGTCTCGCGCTTCCAGACGCAGCCGTCCCCGGACACCGCGATGCTGAATGTAACCCACACTGAGCCGGCCCCTCGCCCGGCCCGGCCGTTCCTCCCACACGTGCTGACTTGCGTTCCGTGATGTGGGCGTTCTGTCCGGAAAGATGTATATATTTTCTTACTGTACATAAAGATGTTCCTAAATCGGGACAGGAAGCGACGCCACAGGGGCATTTGTGCCACTGCCGCGGAACGCGTTTGTGGGACGTCACGTGCATTCAGAACCCAGCCCTTAACCCTTTTTTGTCCCAACAGTTGGACGTTAAATCTCTTTCGATTTACGTCACTACTGATGCATTAAGTTTTTAAACGGGATCCCATGCCGACCGGGAATCCTTAGCGAATCTTTAGCTCGGAAGAGGTTTCCGTGACCTGTTCAGGGACCACGTGAGGTCTTGCGGTTTGATGTGTCCCCCTCACAGGCCGGGGGTCCTGAGTCCCCACGCAGGGTCCCGTGGCCCCTTTCCGCAGAGGGCAGCAGAGGGCACCCGGCCGGGCATCTCTGTTGGACGCTACCGTTGAGGAAAACTGGAAACAAGTAGAAATGCCACGCCCCTTTGGAAGTCTGCACTTTCCCCTTCATGTGCCCGCGATTTCCAGGACTTCAGGCTCGGGACCTTGGCGCGTCTGGCACTTTAGGGTCAAAAGCTGCGTCCCCACCGGTCCCCGAAAGCTCACCTAGAAACATTGTTCACTTTAAATGGTACTTTTTAACTGCTCAGTTTTTGACTATTTTAAATAGTTTGCTGATAGAAAAATTCCTGGTAATACTTGCTACATATCATGTTTTAATTGCCTGTACAGTTAACCTTTAATTTTATTTAGTAAAGTCTATCAGATTAGGACTTTTTGAACTGTAAATATGTGGTTTTATTAAATAAAAGTCATGTAAAATTGTTACTTGTGTTCACTGTCGCTTGGTTTAAAATTGAAGTTCCCACCTTAAAAATGGCAACACCTGACTTCGAGCGTCGTGCTGGTTGAAGATCCACCGAGGCCCAGTTCAGTGAAGCAGTTAATTTGGTCAAGGGATTTGGGAGTTTCGTGTGCCCCCACCCCAAGCTGAAGGGGAACCTCAGACTTGCCCACCCCCGTGGTCTGGTGCCGCGTGCCGCCAGGCTCGCTGCTCACACCTCTGCGCCCGACCCAGCAGCTGGTGCACACTCACCCTGGAGCCTGCTCGGAGTGCTGGTGTCGCGGTCCGGCACCACCGCCACCCTCCAAGTGACCGTGGGCTCCTCCCGGGCTGCTGTGCACCTCCGTCCCTGTCCGTGGCTGAGAACGTAAGTGTCCGAGAGGTCACGTGTGTGCTCACGTTCGTCGGTGGGGCGCTGGGCGGTTGGAACCAAGGGCTGGAGGCCCGGGGAGGAGCCTGTCGAGTCCTGGCCAGAAAGTATGCGGCCCTTGGGGCTCCTGCCTTCTTTGTCCCCAGGCGGACTTTGCCGCCCCTCCGGTGTCCGCGCCCTGGGGACCTCCGCACCCTCCGCCCCAGGACTGGCCTCCCCGCTGACCTTCCCCGGGGACCGCGCAGCTCACTGTCACAGCGTTCGCCATGTTTGGCCCCCAGCACAAGGCTCCCATCTGTCCTCACGAGGGGGTCCCGTCGCTGCTCTGGGCCGCAGTTCTCTTTTCTCCACTTGGCACAGGCTCTGAGGGACTGTGGCCGCGAGGGTGGCCACGGTGGACGGCAGTCGTGTCCTGGGGCTCACTGCACCGCTTCACCCACCCCAGGCCCCATTTCTCTCCACAGCAGCCCTGTCAGCGTCCCCTTTCCGCGGGTGTGATGCCGAGAGCTGGTCTGCTTGGACGGGCCTGGGGTTCAGACTCCGGCCCTGTGGCTCCTGAGCCCTTGCCGGCCCCCTCCCCAGGGCACAGGCCTTCCTCCTCTGGCCCTGACCTCAACTCCCAAGTGCGGGGTGCGGGGCGAGGCCTGGATTCACTCACCCGAATGCCTCCTGGGTGTAAGGCCCAGCCTGCCGGGAAGGAGGCAGCCATGCCAGCCAGCTCCGGGAGGACCTTGGGGACGTACGAGCCTTGGGGATGGAGGTTGTGGACGCTGGGGGCGGACAGTTCAAACACCCAACGTGCACCTGCCGCAAAGGCCCAGAGAGGGAATGAGATACTCCAGCAGCACAGGGAGGGGTCCCCGCGGGACCTTGAGGGGAGCCGCTGGCCAGCAGAGGGAGGCCTTAGAGCCGAGGCGAGACCTCAGATGGGGCCGTGGGAGACGCCACAGCACCCAGCCGCCCACCCAGCGGCTCGCCGTGACCGCAAGTCCCCGGGTATTTCTGCGAGGCCTGGAGCGCTGGCTGGCTCAAGGCAGCTCGGGCTCCTCCGTGAGCACCACTGCGCCTGCAGCCGGCTGGCGCCAAGAGGGGGTGCTCCGCCGGGCACGGCCACGCCAGCAGAAGTATTTAAACTGCGTCAGCCTCATTTCTCTTTTTTTTTTTTTTCCAACGTTTTTTATTTATTTTTGGGACAGAGAGAGACAGAGCATGAACGGGGGAGGGGCAGAGAGAGAGGGAGACACAGAATCAGAAACAGGCTCCAGGCTCTGAGCCATCAGCCCAGAGCCCGACGCGGGGCTCGAACTCACGGACCGCGAGATCGTGACCTGGCTGAAGTCGGACGCTTAACCGACTGCGCCACCCAGGCGCCCCGTCATTTCTCTTTTAAAAAGCGTACCGGCTTCCATCCCCTGGCTCGTGAGGATTAAAAAAGATGCTGAATTACTTGTGTCATCTAAAGAAACGCGTCACCATACAGAGCTAGATTCGTGCTCTCGACATACAGACTTTCAGTGTCTGAACTCTCGGTGAACTTACGAATTGTAAAAATCAGTGTCTTCCCTCTAATTATCGGATGCATGTTAAATACAATTTGGAAATGCCCCAAAGCACACAAAAAATAAAAATCATAATCTCACCACCTAGGAAAGACACTTTTTTCATACGCTTGACATTTTCTTACGTTTACCCCATCGTACCAGGGAGCACGCTGAGCTTTAGAAACGTCGAGTGTTTGTCCCAGGTCACAGAAGAGACCAGAATCCAGCTCAGCCTGATGCCAAAGCCTTCATTTGCGGGTGCTACATGGTCTTCCTCCTCGATGCATCTCTGTGCTCATCGTGGCGTCTTTTGGGTGAAATATTAGAAGCCTGCATCAGGGAGAAAGCTGGGGCGGGTGGAAATGTATTCATTCAAACCTGTGCCTGTTCAGACTGTGGTTACGACAGGAGCATGCCTGGCAAGCAGGAGGTGTGGGCCCGAGCGGTGCCCAGCCTGTGTGGCCCCTGCTCCCGCCGGCCGCTCAGAGGCGGGTCCCCCCAACCCGGAGTCGTTCCCGACCACATTGCTTGTACAATTTGTCCTCACGAAGACTGTCTTCCAAGTTGAAGACGGAAGTTCCAAAGTGGGGTGCATTAATTTTGAGTGACTTTATCATATCAGACAGGCATCCCCGACCAGGGGCAAAAATCTAAATTATGGCTCAGACCAACTTACAAAGAAAGAAAGCGTTTGACCACTTAGGTAATTTTATAATCTGAAATGGGTAAGTCTCCAAAAATGACTTTCACCTACTAATTCCTTTTCAGATGCCTTGGGCTCCATGTAGGTACTGCCTGATTCCCTCCTGACCCTGGGGCCACAAACAGACAAAAGTGGCCTGGGACACTTCCGACTCAGACCCATTTATTTTTTTTTTAATATTTGAGAGACAGAGAGTAGGGGAGGGTCAGAGAGCAGGAGAGAGAATCCCAAGCAGGCTCTGTGCTGTCAGCACAGAACCTGACATGGGGCTCGAACTCCCAAACAGTGAGATCATGAACTGAGCCGAAATCACGAGTTGGACACTTAACCAGCTGAGTCGGCCAGGTGCCCCTCGACTCGGACCAATTTAAAAAGAAGTTTCACGTAACATCTCAGATTTTTCTGTGCCTGCATTTTGCGGGCCTGAATTTTTGACAAGGTGACAAAATCTCTAGCCTTTGATTTTAGAGATTTCTAGTCCAGCCCCGCCCTCCCCCCCCCCCTCCCGAATCTTCTAGAGGAAGGGAGGCTCTTCGGAAGTGGTCCCTGCCAGAATGGACTCGGTCTCTGGAGTGGTGTCCTTCCAAGACCCTGTCATTCTCATTGCTCCTACTTCTGGAGACATCCTCTTTCTACCTGTGATCATTTTAGAACCCGATAGAGCACTTAGCAGTTCCTGGCATACAATAGGCATTCAAGTAACTTATTTTCAGAAGAGGAGAGTGGCATGATGTTGATGTATTAACCCGGCAAATTATGGAGCACTGATTATGTGTTAGGCTTTGTATTGACTACTGGGGAGGACGACCGTCTACTTACCCTGAGGGCCTCTGTCTCACTGGGGTCCAGAGAACTAAGCAGACGGTCATAAAGCAGTGGGTCAGAGGCTGGGATGGGGCTAAACACAGGTGGCCGTGGGGCACAGAGGGCACATCAGGAAGACGGGGGGGGGGGGGCGGGGTGTGGCATTCCCTCCTCTGAGGCAGTCGAAAGAAACCACGTGTGAATGCGTGGCTATTTCACGATTAAGAGCTCTCCCGTAATCTAATTAGGACCCTCGCTAGGAAGTAATCAACACATTCTTGGTCTTCTAATTAATTGTAACATCTCCGGCATGAGATAATGTAATTGGAGAGAACGCCGGTAACTCTGCAGCTTAAAGCAATGCCAACTTCATCAGTCTCTCTGTGCTCACGAGAGCCTGGTTCAGGGCTGGTTCAGGAGTGCTTGGTTCAGCCTGGCTAACTGCCAGTGGGTCAGAGTCAGCTGAAAATACCCATTTCCCCCCTAGCGAACCCAAGGGATACGCACTCTTGCAACGAAAGCTGCTTGCTTGGGGAAGGCAGGTGCCTGTTGCCAGTTGCACTTTGAAGCCTTCCCAACCACAGAAGAACCCAGTGGCCTGTGCTGCTTTTAGCCTGAGGCACGCGGAAGATCAAGTTCCATTTGCTGGTGAGTTACACCTTCTCTTTGGCCTTGAGGAACCGGGTAGAGGGGAGAAAACGACTGTCGGGGAGAAGGAGGGTGGAAGCAGGAAGTGAATGCTTTTTACTCCCCCGGGTTGGGTAAGCCTGATCCTGTAAAGGAGTGTATTTAAGCTGTAGAAGTTAGAAAAGGGATTTTCACCAACCTTCATTGGCTTGAAAGGGAACGTAAGATCGCATCACCCAAAGGTAAAATAATTGTGAAGTACCCACGACCCACCGAGTCATCTGCCTAGAGCAGGCCTTCTACCATTGTGTCAAGGTGTTCAGCACCAAACAGGTCACTCCTCCTAGGACCTACTTAAGTTTGCGGATGGGAGAACACTTCTGATCTCACATCTGCACGGCTCAAAATTCAATTTACAATTAGGCAGAGAGGCGCCTGGGTGACTCAGTCGGTTGAGCGTCCGACTTCGGCTCAGGTCATGATCTCGCGGTTCGTGGGTTCGAGCCCCGCATCGGGCTCTGTGCTGACAGCTGGGAGCCTGGAGCCTGCTTTGGATTCTGTGTCTCCTTCTCTCTCTGTTCCTCCCCCCGCATGCACTCTGTCTCTCTCTCTCTCAAAAATTAAAGATTAAAAAATTATAAAATTAAGGAGAAATAAAGCCAAACCCCCAGCTCCAGAAGCATCGGAGGAAACTGCAAATGTTAATCACTGATTCTGGATTAAAGAGGCAGACCTATCAGGCATTTCTTACATTAACACAAGGAATGATAGACATGTCAAGAGTGGAAACAGAGTAAAATCATGTGCATAGTGAGGGCCCAAGATCCACAACTATCTTGCTGGAAACAAAAGGCTCATGGACAGTTGGTAGTCACTATTCCCTATATTGTGCACCTGGCCAAACGCAATACAATCATCATTTTGTCTTCACTGGAAAATAAAAGTGCATGTTTTTGTATAGACAAATGTGTTTCTTTAGAGGATCCAAGAAAACATTTCATTAGAATTGAAGACCGTCATTGAGCCAGAAACAAACGTGAACGGTCAAGCAGACTGAGCCCCCTCTCATGGCAAAAGGAAAGAGGACAAAACCACAGCTCCTTTTCCTATGTATCATTTCTCCTGTTTCCTGCGTCTTGTTTCTTACCCAGTCTCGTTACCCAGTCACTAGTGCTGCCTACACACACCACAGTTTTAGATTCATCTAAAGTAATCAGGGAGCTTTGAATTGAGAATGTGCTACATATTTTAAATGTTCAGGACTACATATTTTAAAAATTCGAAGGGGATTTAATAATTGGCGTGCACAGGAAATTTCTTGGTCCCCTGCCTATTTGTCAGACCCTCCCACACGCGGAGGAGGAACCATTTTCCTCGGGATTGGGGCATTGAAATTACGGAATTTCTCAGGTAAGGAAAGGCTTTTTAAAAGACAGCTTCTTGTGAGACGTTCGGGACACCGAGCCATCCCTGGTGTGTGTTTCTCTGGGCCTATTTTAGTTAACGCCATGTAAAACCGACTGTTAACCCAATTTTGCTCTCAGGACGGACTTGGAAGCTGAAAAATGATGAGGTCGATACAAAATACAGCCCCATTCCCAATATTGTAGGCCTTTTAAAGATGGCCACGAGCGGAGAATCGGATTTCACGAGGGCGGAGAGTCGCTGCGACGGAAGGCGCTCTGCCGGCCCTTCCCATCATCGTGTGTGTTAAGATGGGAGAAAGGCTTTGGCTTCCCGCATCTTCTGCTTCACGCCTCTGCAGGACATAATGAGCCCGGCGTGATGGCGCTTCAGGGATTCCAGACGCTGCCTGAGCAGTTTTGCCTTGTCCACTTTCTCTTCCAGGTCGCAAAGGAGTGGCTCCTTGCCCAGAAGCCCACACTTCTGGTTCAACTTGATGTTGTCAATCCTCAGGCCGTCCCGGGCTTTCTTAGTCTTGGTCAAGATGTCCCTCCTTAGGGCTACCTGAGCCTCAATCTCCAAAAGCTGTGACTTCTTGCATGCATTTTGTAAATCCACGAAGTGTAGCTTTTCCTTCACGTGGGTTACGATTTGCACATTGTGGGTCACCTTGTTGCGCAGTTTTAAAAGTTCCTCATTTCGCTCCTCGACTTTTTCATTGAAGGTCTGGTTCTCAATCTTGAGCTGTTCGAAATCGATGAGAAGCAGACCCTCCGTCAGGTCCTCCTGGGCCCTCATCCGGGTCTCGAGATGCACCAAGCTCTGTTTCAGCTGCACGTTCTCTAGCCTCACGGCGCTCATCTCCTTCTCCTTCTTATCCTCCAGCGCCTGGATCTGCTCCACCTGCCGCAGGGCGGCCTGGCGACCGCCCCTCATCCAGGAGCCGCCCATGGCCTGCACCATCACCTGCTTCTTGAGCGCCTGGAAGGCTCGCCATTCCTTCTCCGCCCTGGCGAGCTCCTCCGTGCCCTCCCGCTTCAGCTGCTCCAGCTCCTGGTGATACCAGTCCAGGTCGTCTGCCCGCTGCTTCCTCAGCTCCTCCAGCATGGCCAGATAGCGCAGGTACGCTTGCTCTTTCCCCGGGGCCTCGGGCTCCGCGCCCTTGTCGGGCACCTGGGCTGCATCCGGGCCCTTCTTCTTGCGCAGCGCCTCGGAGATCTTGTGCTGCAGGTAAATGTTGTAGCGCTGGTAGTGGCCGCGCTCCGCCACCAGCGACTGGTACTGTTGCAGGAGCTCAGCGCGCAGCTGCTGCTCCTGCAGCCTCTGCACCTCTTCGGTCCATTCACCGTCCTCATCGTCGAGGCTGTCCTCCTCATCTTTCAGCTTTACCTGGCTTCTCCACGGGCTTCTTAGCAGGCCCAGCTCCTCCATTTCCTCGCTCTCCGCCCCCTGCCTCTCCTCCCCCTCGGCCTCCCGAGCTGACACAGCCTCTTCCCGGCCGGTGGTGGACAGAGGCAGAGAGACCTGAGACGGGGCTTCCTTCCTCCTGCGCTGGACCACAGCTGCCGCCACCTTCTCTCTTTCCTTCTCCTCCTCCTCCTCCTCCTCCTCCTCCTCCTCCTC